TTGTCTCTTGAGTCCTGGTCCAGTGTCACAAGTTGATTGACCTCCCTGACAGACCCTCGCCCAGACCTTTGGCACTGGATCACTGTAAGATCAAAGCCTGCAGGTACAAAATTGCTATTTATTTTACTTAGATTTGGCTAGAATCAAATCTTTAATGAATGAGTTGGAAAAAAGCCTGTAAGTAATATATATATTTTATTTTATTTTTTAGAGCTTTCCTGAAAAATAGGAAAAATAAAAGGGCTAAACAGCTAGCTAACTAAATTTGCGGGTAGTTCCAACAGTGTATGATGAGTATCAAAGGTCAGGGTATGTGATGGATGTCAGTTAAGCAGCTTTTATTTCCTAAATTGGCTTTTCATGACTGTTCTGTTTCATACCTCATTGTGCTGTATCCTGAATTACAAGACGCTGTTTAACTACTGGTCACAACAGTAAAATATGACAGATTGGTCATTATACAAAAGTGCATCCAAAATTGTCACCAATTGTAATTTTGTCATTGTTCTCCTTTTGTTAAAATTTCAGTGCCTTTGGAATATGAAAGGACTTTATGTCTATTGACCCATTTTTGACTTGTGCATGCACTCCCACAGATTTCAACAAATGGTTTTGTTTAACAGAATTTTGCTTTATTCCCACTTAAGCAGGTTCTAAATATGCAAAAGATAAATGATAAGTTAGCTTTGCTGCACTGGAATTAGCAGTGTCATCAGACTGATAGCTATATTGTTGCTATAAATTGGAAGATGGGCAATGATTTTTTCTAACTTGACTTCCTGAAAAGATATTTAAATCATTATCTGAAGTATGTGTGAGTGCTAAAAATCATGCTGTATGAAATACTAAGAAAAAATATTTTCAAAATGTTAAGGCATAATAAAATTATACATTAGACTTAGAAGTAAATATAGGATTATCTTTTTAAGAGCAATATTTTACTGCATTTAAATAAGCCTTTTTGAAAAATCTCTGTACAAAAAATCATTATTATAATGAATACTGGCCTGGACCATTAGAAGGAAATGTGTTTCAGAATTTTCAAAATATACTGTTTTTACTTTTAGAACGAAACTGTTTTTGCTTGGCTCAACTCAGCTTATATGCACTGAATGTACCCACGATGCCAGTGCTGCCCAAATACTGTGATTCAAGTGTCTTTTGCTGTCTTTCTTCTCTGTGACTTGTACTCCAGTGTTAATCTATAGCTCCTCTGAAGCACTGTTTCAGAGTTGCAGGACAGAAGGGTATCATGGAAAAGGCCGTGTAAAGAGAGAGAACAACCCAGAGAATGAGGGCTTGAGGAAATTGTGCTATAATTCTTGTGAGACCTGACATAAGTTTCTGCTTGAAAACCTAAACCAAAGTATCCTAGTCAACTTGACACATGAATTAGTTTCATCCTGGGATGCCCTGACTTTCTAAATCAATACATTTTGTGTAATTTTTTTTTTCTGAAAGAAAATTAAAACTAGAATTTTCCTGCACAAACCAGAAGTTTAAAGGAAGCTACATTTCCCACTGATAAATTAAAAAAAAAATACCCTGAGCCACTCTACTTAAAACATGATGTTCCAAATGATCATTTATTGTATTTTTTCAGGGCCGTTCAGAAATTATTACAAACAAATCTCTAATATTTTTATTTATGAAAATACAATAACACTGTAATATTAATTATATTTTAAATAGAATGAAAATGATGCATTTGGTTACTCAGTAGTGAGGAGCATTTGAATTAAGCAGTTATGTTAATTCAAGCAAAACAGTAGACTTTTTTTTTTATTTTTGCTTAAGTTGTGTGGTCTTTTCATATTACAAGTAGTAGGTGCTGCTCAAAACAGTTTAAATATCTTATTTATTACCACAAAATAAAGACTGAGTAAAAAGAATTAAAACCCGCAGTTCAAATTCAGACAGTGTTCCCAAGATAGAAATCTAATGAGACCCTCAGCTTGTGGCTCTATTTTTTTCCATGGCAGTATACTTTTCCTGCCAAGATCTCAATGAGCCTGCGTAAAATTGTAGGATCCAGCTCTACAAAACCCAAGTGAAAAAAGAAAGCCATAGACTTAGCGTTGCATGCTGCTGACACTTTAAAAAGAGCTTTTTGCTTGAATGGTTTAGAGCAGGATTGATATCACTACACAAAGTTGTCTTTCTTTCCTGAAAACCATTCATTCTTCATTATTAAACAATACGATTAAAAGTAGGCAGCAAGCAGGCTTCTAAATTACAGCTGAAGGAAAAGAAACAAAACTAATGTCTGCTAGTCAGGTTTAAACTATATGCTATTTTTTTAATAATAAAGCTAAAAAAAAATTGCACAGAATTTTTAATGAACTAAGTATTTGTTCACATCCTCAGATACATTTTTCTTCCACAATTTGTAGTAGCCTAAAAATGTCCACATCTCACTAAGAAAATAATTTTAAGAAAGTTTGTAAAAATTACACAGCAATAGAAATTAATATTCAGAAATGCACTGGAAATGCACTGAGGGATAATGTGATTGCTGTTTAATGTGAGAAATCAATATTAAAAATGCTAGAAATCTTTCAAGAAATTCTATTAAATAATAAACTATTGATCTTTTAAAAGTTGGTAAAAGATAGTACTGGAAGTAGACAACCAAAATCTGTCCTTTGAAACAAAATTTTTTCTCTATTAATTATTCCCCTTTGTATTTCTAGACATGCAAGAGACCATAGTTAGTTCAGACACACATACTTCACACAACATTCCTGTTCAAGAGGGCCACAAAGAATTCAGCGTGTGCTCCTGAAGACTAGTTTTACTACTTTGAAGCACAATTAGGAAAAATATTTCTGATTTGCATAAGATGATGATGGAAATATTTACATAAGAGTTCATTTATTTTTTTTTACATTAAAAAATATCTCTAGTGGTCTTTGGCTATATTGCATAGGCTTTCTAAATGTCCAGAGAGTTATACGTATTTCGAATATTTGCATTGTTATGTAAATAGAGGGTTAGCAAAATGAAAGGGAGCTTTTCAGCATTTTAGTGAATTTCAGCACAAATTGTCCAGATATAAAAGGATAGAGCTTTATGTATTAGTACCTATTTTCCTTCTTTAAAGAATGGTTCCAGAAATCAGACTTATAGTTGGTACATAACATATAGGAGACACTAATCCCACTGAAGTCATTGCCATTTTAGTGATGCTTAGGATAATCAAGGCTACAAGGGGGAAGTTAAAATAGCAATACTTCAGGGATTATCGGAGGGCATCTAGCATGCTCAGTTGCTTCAGAAAAGAACTTGAAGCCATGAAAGGGACTCTTTCTTGAGGTAGCCTTGGATTTGGTCATGACTCCTGGGGATTATTGGTGTTAATGGCAGTGGCATTGACTCAGAGGGCACTGCAGGTTGTCTTTGACAGCAGATCTAGTCGCATTTCTGAAAGCTTCTTTTAAAAAGCCTTTTCCTGACACTTGTCATCCAGTTCTTCTGAGATAAATTAATCTGGATACACAACTGAAAGGTTTTTTTCCATTTTATAGAGTGGGAGGTTCACAGACAACTCTCAAACTTTTCACTAACCTATCCATCAAAGCTGAAGAAACAAAATAATTTGAGGGAAAACTACTGATTTTGTGGTCTAGCAAAAAAAGCTAGTTCCTCTGTATAACTCTATTGTATTTACACTGAAGCGATGTTGCGTACACTATGGTTACTGTACATATGATACAGAAGTAAAATGAGATAGATACTATATTTCCGTATTTTGCTCCTTGAGATCATATTCTAAGCCACCTTAAGGTATTATTAGAATAACAGAGTCCAGTAGAGCTGTTTTTGTGGGAAAATAAAAGCCGGATTTAATTAAGATTATAGAATCATAAAGACTTTTTCAATTAACACATTCAAATAAACTTTCAAAATATCAATGCAAAATACATTGACATATGAAATAACAATTATTCTCCACATTGCTTATTAGCAAATTTATATTGCTCCCAAGTGTTTTTTTCTTTTCATGAAGGACTTCAGCTACCAGTGTCAGTGATACAAAACTATTGCCTGTCCACATCACAAAGCTTCTAAGATTTTATTTTCTTGTCAATATTGGAAAAGAGAACTGGCACAGTATATTATAGCCCTCTTAATATAACCTGACATTGGAGACTTAAGCGGTAGTCATAGTTTGGCACAAAAATCTGACTAAGAGCTCCTGGTTGTCACTGAAGTCCTTTTAGAATTAAGTAAGGCTGTAACGGTAATGGAGAAAAGATGAAGCCAACATCTTCCTGGGTGACAGTGTCAACGCGGCAGCATTGGCTGCGGTGAATTGCTGGTCACGCTCCTCGCCATGAAAGTAACAGAACGGCAGGCTGTGGCGGGGTGTTCGCTTTACTGAGAACTTCAGAAAGCAATGAAGTATTGTGTTTATATGATTATTATTTATAACTATTGTTGGTGATGGGAGAAATGATTGAAAGTGCTGTTTTGTAGCGCTTCTTGAATTACATGCAAAGTAAAATGGTGCATTCGAAAGTGCTTATTTAGTTTTGAGTTGACTAATTATTAATTACATTCTTTTCCTGTCTTGTCAGTGAGCGGCTACTAACCTAAATCTGCTTATTGTGGGAGATCGCTCAGCAGTACAGTATTTTAACAATCTTTTAGATGACATTAATTCATGCTGATACTGTATGCACACAAGGATCCCCTCTCACTGCTCTGCTTGGTAATCAGATCTCTCTCCAAAAACATCAGTATCTGTTTGTTCACGTGTAGTGCTAGGTGGAGAGAAAGATATAAATTTAAAGCTAACTTCAACTTTCCCTTCACTGACAAAGTCCTGCATTTGACCTTGAAATGGGGCACCCTTCGGAGATCCTCTCACAAGGAGGAATCCCTGAAATTTTAGAGCTATTTCCTAGTTATAAATAATAACAATATTCTTTGGTGGGTGGGCTAACAAGTGTCGGTGCGAATGGCGATTTCGGCAGGAAAGGGCACCAGCAGAGGCCTTACTGATTGGAGTACTGCACGGTGCTGTACTTTGTCACTCTTCTCCGGGAGGTACCGGGGGACGCCGTGCCCATTGCCTGGCCAAGGTGACTGTCGGCGCTGAGCATCTGACCCGCACTGCTCAGGCCCCCCAGATTTGCCCCCCCCAGGCTGCTCATCCCAGACCCTGACACTACCCTCTCGGTGACCACCACGTTGTGGGTGTTCGATAACTCCGAGGGAATATTTATTAAGCTGCCTGGCATGCCGGAGGCAGGCCGGAACACCCTTTCTGTCACCACCACATTCGACCCGTCTACCAAATCAGGAATGCTCAGAGAGGTCGGGAGCCGGGAGTTAGGCGCGATTACTCTTTCCGTGACGATAACGTTGGACCCATCTGTGAGATCGGGGATATCTAGCATGCCGCGCAAATCAGAGGCAGATGCAGGACCAACAACCCTTTCCGTTACAACAACGTTGGATGCACGCAGAGGGTCGACGCAAAGAGATGGGGAGCCAGAGGTGAAGGTCTCAGTAACCGTCATGTTGCCGTGGAGCAAAGGATCTGGCATCGGCCTTGAGGGCTGTATGGTTGACCCAGATGTGTAGGTGTTTTCAGTAACAATTGTTGTAGTGCCAGTCGGGGGAGGCATAGGTGCGCATCCATTGACAACGATGGTGGTTCCAGGTGGTGGGAGGTTTAGATCACTTTCAGGGTTGGGAAAGTTGACGTTAACGCATGGCCAGGGTGGGTTGACATCAGGGAAAGGTTCGATCTCTTTGCCCAGACAGATCTCTGCCAGAGTCTTAAATTTTGGTCCTAGTGTATCCAAATATGTTTCGTCTGTATCTTCTCCAATAAAGCTGCAGCAACCCACAGAGCCAACAGGAGTACCGACTCCTTCATGATCATATATTAATAGGCAGTCATTTGCTGGCCGACCTTCATCTTCATCTGCATACACAAATGCTTTCTGTAATTTGCAAAAACAGAAAAAAAAAAAAAAAAGAAGAAAAGAAGAACAAAGTGAGTTTTCCTCAGATTTTTAACTATGAAGTCTCAAAACACAGTAAGGTTTCCCTAACCGCAGTAAGGCCTAGCTGACTTGAAAAACAGGACATCAACAGGACAAATTATATCATCAGCATTTGTGTAACCTTGAAATAAGTTTTAGTCAAATCTTATTTATGTTTTATTCTTGTTTCTGCCAACACTTAGCATCTCAAATTTGGTTTGTTGTCAGTGGGTCTGACTGTGGGGTGAAGGGAGAGAGCGAAAGGAACAGGGGAACACATTACTCTTTGGCCACCAGTATCTGAACGAAGCAGTAGGAAGAAGAGTGAAGCAGGATGGCGAGAGGAGCAGTGGAGAGGCCAGGACAGAGGGGATGGGACAGAGGGTTGGCCACAATGGGGAAGGCTTGGTGAGCCCAGAGGGGAATCCATTTTGAGCAGGATGGAGATCACTGATTTGGGATAGCATTGAGGATGATGGGATGGTCAATGCAGAAGGATTGGGCAGGAAAGAGAAGAATTTAAAGTGAGTGTGTGGTGAGGTTGGAGGAAGTAGGGAAGAACAAAAGGGGAGGCCCGAGAGGGAGAGGCAAAGGGTTTGGAGTTTGAGATGATCAGTGGGAGGGGAGAGGCAAAGGGTTTGGAGTTTGAGATGGTCAGTGGGAGGAGTAATCTGTGCAGGCCTAAGGCTGGCAGACAATTGATACATAGTGCTCCCAGCCTAGGCACGGAGATAGCCATCTGGGAGAAGTCCATGCTCAGGACTTCAGGACTGCTCTGTCCTCTCCTCCACTGAATCTTGTTTAGCTTTCGAAATACAGCAATCCGTATATATTAATTGATATTTTGGTAACATATGCGATTATAGTATTTATGCATTACAGTTCATGCTAATTAAGAAATTATATCCCATTAATCCATTAATCATGTAAACTCCATAGCATTTTTTAATCCCATATGTAAAGGCTAATTAATATGTTGCCAATTACAAAACTACATATTTGTGTCACAGTTCACAAGTCTTTAAGGAACAGAAATGGCAATAAAAATAAGGAAGAAAGTGAAATGGTGTTCACAGTTCTTAAAGGGTTAAAGTCACTTCATTAAACAATCTGTACAGGAAGTACATGTGAACAATTTCACAGTTATCTATTCATACACTGAAAAATGTGGCCAATAGCTAAATTTGGTGGTCACTTATGGAGCTGAAATAATTGAATTGCTTACTATCCATATCTGCATTGTGTCCATCAGTGTTACAAAGAGGCTACTGAGCAGTCAAATCTACTATGGCAGCAGCTCACAAGCAGTACTACTAGTGTTGTAGTTTTTCCTACTAGTACAGTCAGCTTTGCTGTCACACCATTCTTATATCATGGAAGTTTCAATTTGAATGGAGTTATTTTGGATTTCCACCATGTAACTTGGGGAGGAGAATCTAACAGTATGCTCACAGATATAATGCAAAGATCAGGTAATTACCTCAGAGAAGTAGTTGTCTAGGAAGGCCATGTTCACCCCTCCTTCTCGATACTCTTTTATTGTTCCTCCAACTGACCCTTTTGCTTCCCCTGTTCCAGAAATTCCTCCAGCTGTTCCGTAACCAGTACCAGTGCCATAGCCAACCCCTGTAGTTTCTTCAACACCAGAAGCTACTACTCCTCCTCCTCCATATGTGTTTGTATATATGTCTGAAAAGAGAAGAAGTTATCCTTCCTGTGCTCTGCGAAAATTTACACAGAATTTGCCAGTTGTTTTTACAAATAGTACAATGACACTACTGAGTTTCTAAAGGTATTTTAGACTAATTTCAGTCACAGATCCATGCCCAGGTGCCAAACATTGAAACTGCAATAAAAATTGAGTGCATACTAGTAGACATCTAAGACCTTGATTTTATTCCTGAGGCTAGGCAGCATGTGCATATGTGCTTTAGAAAATCAATGATTTACTTGTGTAATTGACTGGAGAGATTCCTCTATCTGGTGTATATATATGCTGTCATGGGATTTGCATTAGAAAATTAGATAATGCTTATGGATATTTATGCAAATACATAAATGTATATTTACGATCACATTGAGGTTAAAATTGTTTTTCCTTAAACTCTTTTCTAAAAGAAATAACTTTATAACTCCTTTCACATTTTCTAGTCGTTAGATTGTTAAGGGAAATTTGGGAGAACAACAGTGGGTCATAATAACCAACAGTGTTCATAATGCAGAATGAAAATGACCTTTACAATAAATTATAAAGTCACACTTACAGGATTTTTTCTTCTCCAGATTTTTCCATATATGATAACAAGGAATGAGTGATCTTAAATATCAGCATGTAATATAGTAAACCAATTGCATACAGTAGTCTTGACTATGATTACATTAAGAAACATAGGCTAAATTATATTGTTTTTTTCATTTAATCATCTCATTAGTGTCAGTTTATAGAATTTGAACCAGGGGTTTTCACCATAATGGTACTGAACAGTGCAAAGAAAGTAAAATCACATCTGTAAGTCTTAAACTTTTCAATTGTCATTGCAGCAGAACTTCCCTGAGAATAAAGACTCTTCATTCATGTTTATGCCCCAAAATGTTCTCTTTTGATTTTACCTTAAGGATGAGAACATTTTTGAATAATCAATAGTCATCAGAGAAGTTGGCCTGCAAAGTGACATATCTTCCTGTCAGATGCTAGTGAAAATGGATCTGTGCCAGCATCCTTCCTGCCTGTTGTGGAGTAATGGGGAAAAAGAGAAAGGGGCACTGCACAGCTTGACTTATTTGCTATGGCCATCGAATTCCTGAGGGAACCTTATCTCAGAAGCATAAATTTATTGTGCTATGTACCAGCTTTCTGTCTAGGCTAGTGCACAAATGGGCGGTAATTAACTGGCTGCTTGACAGGTCCTATTCCTTCCCTTGTAGGAAGCAGAGCCTGGAAACTGGGAAGAACTGAACTTTTCACCACTAAGTTAGGAAATAAAAAGTCCCTATTCTGGCTTCAAGATTGATTGCTGCTAAAATTGGTGTCTTGAAAAGCGCCTCCCTTCACTGGCTGGAATGATAAAGAAAAATTGCCTGAGATTTGAAAGCCTTGACAAGATATTTCAAAATAAATGTAGTTTACAGAAATGAATCTGCTCAGCAGCTCAGGTCTCAGATCCTTTATTCATACTGGAAGTCCTACTAGCATCAGTTTGACTATCTACAGATGTAAGACCGGAAGGGTTGAGTTACAGCTGCGAAACCAAAGTGCCCCTTGAATCAGAAAACATGAAGTTCTGAAAGATAGCTTTATGACAATGCACATAGAAAATTTTAGGATCTGCTTACCGGAGGGTTCACCAAAATCACCTCCTGCAGCTGTTGTTGGGGCAAGAATGTGTGAGACATCCTGGAAAACAACATTTTGACTCCTTGAATGATGACTTTGAAATTCCCATATGAAAACCAAGACTTTGTGAATCATGTTAAGGAATTAGCAGTCTAAACTGTTAATGACAGCTATTAATTACCATCCCAATTTAAAAAAAAAAAAAAAGACTCCAAGTTTTTTTTCATTGTCAGCATAAAAGGTGATCAGTGAAGATGGTTTGTGTTACCTTGTCCCACTTTGCACTGAAAAAGCTTGCTAGTTACGGTGTTTCAGCTGAGGGAATAGTAACGCCAAACTGTTGGGCCAAGCTAACTGAAGACAGCCTAAAACACACAAACTCCATCTGCAGATGTTAGTTAAGAATCACCTTTCATATCTGCCTGGCAATTGTTGACAATGCCAGGCTTCTTTCGGAAAATGACACAGTGCTACAATCACTTGCATGCTTCTAGTCAAATGCAGTCTTTTCTGTAAATACTGTGGGGTTTAGAAACATGGGATGTACTGACCCTGTCTTCAGGCTGTGCACCTTCTATTCCCCATGGATGAATTGCTCCTTCTGTGCATTCAGGTACAGGTTCAAATCCAGTTCCAACTCCAGCTGCAGCGCCAGGTCCACAGCCACAACAGTCGCTCATTGACATCAAAATTGGAATCACTTAACAGGAAAGAAACAGGAAACAAGGTTTTAGGACATCTCTTCCTCACAGCAACAGCTGCTTTTCCCAGAGCATAGGTGCTCAAAAACTTTTGAAAATATGTTTTTTAAAATGTTTCAAACCAAGCAGCCTGCAAGTCTGGCTTTCAGAATCATTAGCTGCTTTTGGAAATGTATGCATTTGGAAACTCACAATAATTTGTACCTTTAGTTATAGCAAAGAAAAGCAGGGGTGGAGTAGGGCTGTTACTCCAAATGTATGCCTATACATCTGGGAACAGACTTTGATCTATCTCAGCTGAATTAATATAAGTTGCATACATATGAAAATTAAACAGACAGAACCAGTCTCGCTATGTATAGCATTCAGTGATATTCATTCTTGATACATTAGCACACATTTGTCTCTTCAGATATTGTAATTGAAAGAAATACACATTAGTAATAATAGACATCCAAGAATCAGTGGAGAGAGATCCATCTGGCTACAGCGATCTTTGGCTAAAGCTCCAGTTGCATTTTTCACATCACATATACATAATGCCTGATTTGAAAAAACGATAGAGGCAAACCCCAAACCCCAGTTTTAACAAATGATTACATAGAGTAAGTCAGGTTTCCCGGTGTGCTGCTGTAGTATGCTTAGCTGTTTCAAGAACTCAGTGTTAGAAATTGCTGAATGCTATAAACACCAACATTGAAAACATTGCTCATTTTAGAAAGGCACTGCAAAATTAATTCTGGCTGTCTTTAGGTCCTTAACCTAGATGTCTAAGTTACTAAGTGGCCTACACCAGACTAAGCAGAGCATCAACACCTCTTAGTTTAACATCAAAGTGACCTAAAAAAGGAAAAGGGCTATACAATGTAAAAAGTGCTACCTCACACTGCATGACTAAGGACATATTTACTCCAGACTATCAACTAGATTTCCAAAGGCAGAAAGACAGTCTGTCCTGTAACATTAATCACCTGGGAACGACAAATAAAACAACTTTTTTCGGCTTTGAAATTTTGTGTTTGTTGCTTCCTACTAATCAAAGATCAAAACACAAAACAGAACCCCTCCTCAAAAAATCAGGTGAAAAATCTGTTTCCTCTGCTTTTGTACTCAGTATTTCTGCACTGGGAAATTTTAGATGTTGATTGCTTGATGCCCAGGCCATGAAAGAAAGATGGTCACATCTGATTGTGGTGGTCTGAGAAGTAATTGCTTACATAAAGTCTAACCTGAGTCATTCTTATCCCTGAAACTAATATTTCTTCAAAAACACTAGGATATATGAATGAATGATCTGTTTTTATCCTGTTATCACAAATGCAACTTTTTTTTTTAATAGATGTAATGTGTGGCAGCAATAGCCGAAAGGTTCAAAATTTATGGTTGTTCTACTACTGAAATCTGACTTTGAGTTCAAAGGAATTTTGTTCTTTACATCCTTTCACACCCAACTTGGAGCTCATACTTGTCCCTTTCTTTTAGTAGTGCAATGGAAGTATGAATTGCAAAGTGTATGTTATAAGTGACAGGGACAGCTCCTGCCCAAAATCTTCTGAATCTTCTACTAAACATTTTTACCCTGTCTGATGGTCTGAGAACTGGATAACACCTTAGGAAAAAACCCTAAGTCTTAGGAAGGAAATAGTTGTTTCTGAATGAAATATGCATATAAATATGTAGAATATAAAATACAGAGAAATTCTTATAGTTTAAAAGACATTTTTTTCTCTGTCAAGTGGCCCATGGACGCCAGCATGTTAACAATCAGCTAGAAAAGTCACCTTATTTTAGAAGAATTCAAAAAATACACTTTTTAGAAAAATAATATTCTTTTTTCTTAATTTTATACTTACGAACAAATATTAATCCACCAAGAAACATCAGGCCAATGGCAGCACCACTGAGTGTGGTAGAAGATAGAGTATTTGTGCCATAATTTTCATTTCCATTAAAAGTATCATCAGTGGCTGCAGTATATCCTTGACCGTCACTGTAGTCAACAGTGTAACCCTGCCAGTCTGTGGATTCCTTAGGTTCTTCTTCAGGTCGATAGTCATAATAACCACCGTGTTGGTCTCTTTCACCTTCACCATCACCAATGACAATTATTTTCGTGGCCCCACTGGTGCAGTAATTATGAATATCGCACTGACAAGCTTGCACAGGAATTACATGTGGTTTAGGGCAGCGTCGGCCTTGGCTATCTCTTACACTGATATAGATCCTATAAATGTAAAAGTCAATGTTCTGACTCATTAGTTGTGCAGAAGAAGCTTTGGGGAAGAAAAGAAAAGAAAAATATTTAGATTAAGGTATTGGCTGTAAATACTGTACAAATCTATAATTTTTGTGAGTAATGTTCATAGAATAAAGACTAAGTGTTCCCATTCTAAGATCTTCAGTTACTTATGCATCTACAGTACGTATTCAAAGCTTAAACTTATGATATTCATCTATGCTAGTTTTTTCTATTGGAAAACCTGAGCCAGGTTTGTCTAGTCATCACTTTTTAACGTGAGAAATATAAAAGGGGCAAAAGCATGTTTTTATATCTACTGCTGCTTTTCCTGATTTTTATTCACACAATGGTGAACATAAAAATTTTTTCTCTCTCACAAGGAATTTACATGTGTTTTTCAAAATTGTTTTTCAGTAGTTTTAAAATATTTAAAGTTACACATTTGCATCTGTTTAGGATAAATAGGAGAGTAGTTGTAATTGTGATATTTACCATTTAATATAGTCTTCTATGCATACAGTAAGTTATGCAAATTCTGTCATTTAGTAATGTATGAGATTTAACTAATTCATTCATTTGTTACGTCCTATTGGAGGAAACTGGAAAAGTTCCACTAGGCACTGACTACAACGTTTTTTCTTAGAAATAAGTGTAAGTACAATTTGTACAATAATTGCAAAAGATATAATCCTTATTTGCCCTTTTCATATGCCTCTTATAAAAATAAAGCTCTGCCAGCTAATAACTTTATACTCTAATAAATAAATTTGAGAGCTTTGTCATATGCTTAGAATTTTTTAGATAATGTAGAAATAAAAAGGTATCAAATTACTCCTTTTGAATTACCTCATTAGGTATAGACCAATAGAGGTGCTTATCATTGCTACATTGAAGTATATAGTTTTGCTGTTCTATTTTTATCAGTATATTCTTAGTTTCCTTTAAAAGATGATAACTAGATAAAACACATGTAATGATTCTGATTCTAGTTCTAATATGATTTTGATATATATATATAAAGATACAAATCCAGAGCAACTTCTTGGATTCATATGAGCATAAAATCACATTTCAGTGAAATTATAAGAGTCTAATAACTGTTTTGTTTGTTATTAAAAGGTTATCCTAATCTGTTATTTTACATAAGAATTTATTACTATGGTTTATTCTGTTATAAAATGTAGGTTAATTTACCATTTATTGATCTGATAATCCATGTAGTTTGAGGTTCACCATGTATGCTGAATGTAAAGGGGGTACCACTATATGGGTGACCATCCATATACTTTGCTGTGATAATCACTGATGGGGAATGCATACATACTTTCCTTAATTCGGTGTTAATACTTGGGCAATTGTCATACATGTCTTGAAGTGAAAGCACAATGGTGCCAGTAGCAGTATATCGAGGAGCCCCTGTAAAAAGATATTTGTGGTCAGGAGAGACTACTGATACTATAAAGAACGCAGTTCAGGTGGGAAAACTAGAAACAGGAAAAAACACTGAGAGAAATCTGGAACAAAGAGTTTTGTTTCAGAAAACTTAATCTCTTTTCTTACCTCTGGTGATAGCCAGAACCTCTGCTCTGTACTGCCCATTGGTTACATAGACTGAATCCCGGTCAATAACTTTGTTCAGCATGATTTCACCAGTGTTTTGATTGATTCTGAACCAGGCACCTGGATCACGTCCTATACTATATCTGTATTTGGTGAAGTAAAAATACTCAGCATTATGTTATGAATATAGTATTAAGTATTTATTGTAAAAATAATATTTGTCACTTTGGAATATTTTTCTTTAGGCTGTGGTTGCATTTCACCCTATTCAAGCAAAATTCCTGTAGACTTCAGAAGAAGTAGGCCAGAAAAATAATTAGGAATAAAGTAAATGTGTAGAAGTGCATTATAATTTGACAATGGTATCATAGTCTAAAAGCAAAATCTTTCTGGAACCAGTAAACCGTTACCAGAACCCTTGTTGATGTCAGTAGTTAAATCCACAGCTCTTCCTATAGAATAGAATGGTTTGGGTTGGAAGGGACCTTAAAGCCGGCTAGTCCCACCCCCCCGGCCATGGCCAGGGACACCCTCCACTAGACCAGGAGGTCTATCCTGGCCTTGAACATCCAACCTGGCCTTGAACACTTCCAGGGAGGGGGCATCCACAGCTTCTCTGGGCAACCTGTTCCAGTGCCTTTAACTTTTTACAGTTGTATTTACTAACATATTTCTCTGTTTTATGAAAACTTTTCCAACTTTCGTAAATCAGATGTATTTATTTCTACATACATTAAAAAGCAAAATTATAGAATATAGAATCATATAATTATTTAGGTTGGAAAAGACCTTTAAGATCATCAAGTCCAACTGTTAACCTAGCACTGCCAAGTCCACCACTAAACCATGTCCCTAAGCACCACATCTACACGTCTTTTGAATACCTCCAGGGATGGTGACTCCACCACTTCCCTGGGCAGCCTGTTCCAATGATTGACAATCCTTTTGGTGAAGAAATTTTTCCCAATATCCAGTCTAAACCTCCCCTGGCACAACTTGAGGCCATTTCCTCTTGTCCTATCATTTGTTACTTGGGAGAAGAGACCAACACCCACCTGGCTACAACCTCCTTTCAGGTAGTTGTAGAGAGCAATAAGGTCCTTTTTGACAGACTAAAATTATTATTTATAATTATTACTTATCATCACTTTCAGCAGAAATAAACATAAAAGAATATATTTTTTTACTATAGAATGAGCTGGTAGTGACCTCTTCTATTGTGATTGTATAATAATGCCCATTGTTGGGGTTTTCTGCTTGCTTTTTTAGAGATGCTAACAAATTTCCTATTTGTAGCAAACATTTCAAGAATAAATATTCATAGGTTGGGTTAGAAAGCAAATCTGTTCTGATTTATGTAAGTTGCAGCCTGTTAGAAAAATTATATTTTCTTTGTCATGTGCAGGGCTAAGGAAAGTAGGTCAGGAAACAAAACTAATCATAGCATAAAAATGGGCTGAAGAATATACTATTCTATTGCTATTATTCTATTGCTAATATATTAACATTTTTAAAGTTGTTTTCCAAAGCACCCTTTAAAATACCTATTCCTCATCCCATTGAAATCTCAATTAAAAGAACTAGTCCATCCAGGAAGTTCAGCAGAGCAGAGCTTACATAACATTTGATGCAGTAAGTCCGGTGTCCTCATCAATGGCTGTGTATGTTCCCAAAATATAATTCACTTTTTTGCTTTCTGATAAAGAAAACACAACTGAAGATGGTTGAAATTTTGGTGGTTCAATCATATTTTTTACTTCTATTGTGAGGGGTGTTCCACTCATTCGGAAGTCTTTTGCAATAGAATGGTGGAAGGCAGCTACGTTCCTGACACCAATAATCAGTGAGTGAGTTTGGAGATGTTCATAATTCAGTTCCTAAAAGACAAACCACAGAGAACTAGATAAGAAATAAAGGTTCCTTTAATTTTATTTAAATATTTTCTATTTTAAATGGTTGAATGACAGTATTTTTACTGCTTGTTTAATTTTGTTAATAATTAATTAAAACTATTTTAAGATTATTATTTCAACAGTTGAATCACGATATTTATCCATACCTTAATTACTCTAAGGATTCCTTGATTTGTAGCTCGATCTGTAACAATTTCAAACCAGTTATCTTCATTACCAGATATAAAGAAAAACTCTGCTAACCAATTGTCTGTAAACTCTTCGTCAGCATCCAGAGCTTGTATTCGTAGCAGTTCTGAACTGAGTGAATTTTCTGAAATACTTGCTGAAAACTGGAATGACAGATAAATACCTGTTAGCAAACACTAAAATATATAATATGTGAGGAAAACACAGCTGATTGCAGAGATTTTTTTTGAAGGATGTCCTGCCCACAGTCCATGCCAATTTAATAAAAATCATGTGTTCTGGGTAAATTATGATTCTAGTTGCAGATCTGAAGAGCTGTATTACCTCAAGTGTTTGCAGAGACAGCTTAGAGCAAATGGATTTGTGCTTTCTGTAGGAAAAGATCATAAAAAGATTGAGTTAATCTACTTAATCTGGCTGTATTGCATGGGTCTGGACACCTGAATGACTAGCTTTCTCTGAAAACTGAGAAGTCAGTGTCAGGATTGACTTCTCTGAATACAAAGATAATCTATGTGTATGTTATCAGAATTGGTGTGCAAGCAACCGATTGGATTTTGAGCATACTTTGAGGAACCAACCCTGTTGATCCAGTGGAGCATTCAAATGTGAAAGCGCTGGGTTTTTGAACAGAGTTTTTAAACAGTGGTGTTGCTTTTGGTATTACAAACTTACAGAGCTTTGAGCGAGCGTTGGGAAGTTGTCATTGACATCAATAACTTTAATGTTACAGCTACAAAGGGATGATATTCCATCTGCAGCTCCATCCCGGTCTGATGCCTTCACAACAAGAGTGTAGCTACTATGTTGCTGTCACAGAAAGAGAAATGAGCATATTAGAAGGACCACCTGTACATCTAAACACTGTAAATACTCATGTCTTGCTACTATTTCCTAATGCAGAAAGTTGCCTTAGACATTTTATTGTAACATATAGAAAAAATGCATTTCTCCCTTAATTTCTGTAAAAATGACAACCTTTTTTTTTCTTTTTTTCTTTTCTTTTTTTTTTTTTTTTCCCCCCCTCCCACTCTCATAACACATATACACCACAACGTCATGTTATTTAACTTTGGAAAGGAAAATGTTACCTCTCTGTCAAGATAATTTGCAAGATGGAGTTCTCCAGTATATTTATTCATAATGAACATGGGTGGACCTGAAGGTTCCTGACTCTCTATCTTGAAGGCGATTTTAGAATTCAAGTGGTTAGGTTCATCTGCATCTGATGCAATTATTTTCATCACTAGTGTGTCTAAGAATAAAAAATAATAATTAAAAAAACAAATAAGAAAATATGTTTTGTTCCTGCAAACAACTTAGTAAGACAATGCTAAAACTTGGTGTATAAAAATGATAGAATGCTACCTATTCATTGACATTTACAAAGAAAAACAAGTTTAATTTTGTAGTACTGATTCTGACTGAATGTTAATGACTTTAAAATGCATTAAAAATTAAGGTCAGAAGGAGTAATGCAGATTTTCACTGAACTTCTGTAAGTCATCATAGGGACTATGTAAAAACAGTAAGTACTGAGCTTGAAGATATTCATGTAAGAAATCTCCACAGTTTTAAATGAGAATTTCTACAAAGTAGAAAAAGAGCATTAGGCACCATTGCCTCAGTGCTATTTCCATGTCTAATGTTGATTGCTGTAGTTTTGGTAAAAAAGAACCAATTTAGTGGTTTAAATAAGGGGTTTTTCAGTAATATCCTACTGCAACTGCAATACTCAGACTACAAATACAAATATTTGAAATAGAAAAAAATGGGAAAAAAACATATTTTATATACCCTCAAAGGAAATAAGTGTAGGTCTAATGTTAGTTGTTTTTTTTTTTTAATGAGAAGGAATGAACTGATTTATTTTAAATTTTCACATCTGAAAGAATTTGCATGATGGTATGGTTAGAAACTGGAACATTCAGTGTTCATGTGTGGGAGGAAAGGGAGAAGGAAACATCGCTGCTTAATTTTAGGCGATGAGCTTGGGACCCATCTTGAATACCACTCAGAGAAGCATCTCCCTCTCCTTTCTCTGCAGTAGCCCTGGCAAATATGTGTCATTGCCCTAGAAAATGTAGAACGAGCTCCCCAAGTTTATATTAACTGTATTCTGGGAGCTTCACTAACTATACTATAATAGGCACAACATAGTTACTTACTGTCCATACTGGATTCTTCAACAGATCCTGTAAATACAGTTTGTGCAAATATAGGAGGGTTATCATTTATATCCAGAACTCTGACTCGAAGTTCAAGAGGTGGCTCCAAATCTTCACCGGTCATTGAGTGTTTAGCAAAGCAACGTATCTAGATAAAGAGATTTACTCATTTTAAAACCAAAAGTGAAGTAAGCAAAGTAATAAACTGAAACAAATGAATTTCCTTCTGGTCTCCCTGCTCCCCCCAGATCCATCATTATAAAGGTAAGACAAAAATGGGAGTACTTACAACAAATACTGGGGTTACTTCCCTATCCACTATTGATGTTATATTGATTTCTCCTGTTCTTGGGTTAACAACAAATATTCCGTAGGGGGCACGATCAATTCCAACTCCAGAGATGCTGTATGTGATTGGATGTTTTTCTTCACAATCTGATCGGATCTACAATAATAGATAATAATAATTTATGCCAGTTTACTGAGGACACCTGCAGGGCTTTTTTTCCTATTATTAATTTCTGTAAAAAATTCTATATAATTTCAGTTGTATCACAAGTTTCAATTGACAGAACCAATGGAAAGCTCTTCTACAAAACAGCTAGCCTAGAGATCCATCTCCCCTTAGGTGCTGGCCAGGTTTTCTATTTCTCTTAAATCTTCTGGCAAGGAAGTGGAGAGAGAAGCTTCCATGAGTATCACACTGTGGCTGGACCTCAGTAAGGGTACGGTCATGGTGAGAGGATAGGAAGACATCTTCTTTGCTCTGTTGCCCACAGGAGTCAGGCACCATCCTTGAACTTCTGCCCAGGGGTTTCTCAGGGTGACAGGGAAAAGAAAAATATTGCGATCTAGTACACAGATGCTGCACACGAAGAGACTGTGGCTGGAGCTGTCTAGGAAGTAGACTGGTGGCAATGTTCTAGGAAGCCTTTGGTCACTCTTCAGCAGCCACGTGGGTTCACCATATGAGACTGTCTCAGCAGAGCTGGAAATATTGCATCATCTTTCTTTTATTCTACATTCCTTGCTTTGACTATCTTAAGCCAATATACTTTTAAATCTCTGCTTTTATCAGTCTGTCTTTAGAAAAACTTCCTTGTCAGTAAACACGTTTATTTTTCTTTCTACTTACTCTGGCAATTGGATTCCTCTTAGAATTATCTTCTCCTTCTCTACAAGCTGCAGCAAATTTGATCCATTCACGTTTTTGTCTTCTGAAGGTTTTCCATCTTGCCATTCCATTTTCATCCCATTCTTTTACCTTTGATAGAGAGTTCCAGTATGATATGACCAGTAACCTCAATACATTTTAAATTAATACAGATATTTAAAATTTCTAACAATAAGAAGAAAAGGCATTTTTATAGATCATGTGCTTTTTTATATGTCTGCAAGTCACAAACTCTAAGATTGTACATGTTTACTTTAAAATTATTCACATGTATGAGATACTCATTGAGGTTCAGGAGAACTTCTCTTGAGAGGGTGAGCAGGTTATTACCTGCAACTAATATTTAAATATGTTTTCAATCTTCAAGTTCAGAAATGTCTTAGTTCAGTATTTTCCCTTTCATTTTTGTATTGCTTACATTTTATTTGATCACAAAATCAGTTTCTAGAGAAATATATATTACCTCTACATGAAATCCTGTGCTGCAATCCAAGAGTACCTGCAAGGACAATAAGAAGATTGGCATATAAAAATGCAGGGCAAAATGCAGTAAGCAAAACCAAACTGCCATACATTTCTATATTGCAGGACTAGAGCAGTACTTTTTCTCCAGTGTGCTGGTTTTGGCTGTGATAGAGTTAATTTTCTTCACAGTAGCTGCTATGGGGCTGTGTTTTGGGTTTGTGCTGACAACAGTGTTGATAACACAGGGATGTTTTCATTCCTGCCGAGCAGTGCTCACACAGAGCCAAGGCCTTTGCTGCTCCTCACCCCACCCCACCAGCGAGCAGGCTGGGGGTGCACAAGGAGTTGGGAGGGGACACAGCCGGGACAGCTGACCCCAACTGACCAAAGGGATATTCCATACCATATGATGTCATGATCAGCATGTAAAGTTGGGGGAAGAAGGAGGCGGGGGACATACACACATGAAAAGGGGCATTTATTTATTCTAAATAATTTATTCTTTATTCTTTATTTTTTCTTATTTGGAAAGTCTACAGTAGACCTGGAGTACTTCACTATCTAGTTTAACCACAAAGAATGAAAATGCTTTCTTGAAACTTCCCACTGAGGTTAAAGAGATTCAATGTAAGGTAGACAGCTAACTGCAGTTATCAGACAGATTTCCCTGGAGTGCAGTGGGCTTTGATTTGATGTCTAACTATGCAACCAAAGTCCGGAGTAAATAAACGTGGCTGGATCAGATGCAATATTTATTTCCTTTAAATTTAAAATTAAAATAATAGAGAATCCTCAATTTCTTGATTAGCACAACTTAAAAGAAGGCACAGTTTAATTAACCTTGTTCCTAAATGAGGTGTGAAAATGAAGTTCACTTGGTGAATGTACCTCTTCAAAACATCTCTTTTGGGTTTAGGACCTGCCTCTGCTCTCTTCAGATGATAAAGGGTGAAGAATATGGGATTTGCAGGACTGGATGCTTGCTTCATTCATCATTGGGAGAAACAAAATATCCAGGTGACTCCAGAAGTGTTGCAGTTTCTCTTTACCCACCAAATGTGGTCAACAGCTGCAGTTACCAATTTTCCACTTTTCTTATAGTTTCCCGGTACTGTTCAATAGTGCTTTTTTTTTTTTTTTTTTTTTTTTTAAATGTCTGACATGTTTTAGCTGGTGTTTTTTATGTCAGTTATACTTGGATAAAATCTGTGACAATCTTCTTCTTACAGTAACTTTACCTCATGGGACTTTCCTCGCTTCGAAGTTATTGCATTGTTCTGTCAAGGCTGGAAGATGGTCACAGACTTTTTTCCACTTACTTTATGTTAAAACAGCCTCTTACTTGCAATGGATCAATGAAGAGCAGCTTCACCCTCCTTCCTTTCTCTTTCTTTCCCTGTTTACCTATAGGCTGTAAAAGGTCTGTCATTTACATCTGTAAATCTGTCATTTACAAAGGAATGTCTCCAATGATCTGACCTTGCCCGGAACATTCCCTGAGACCTCAGCACACAATGGCTGCCCTAATCTGCTTCGGAATAAGGGAATTTTAACTGTGGATTTGCCTATTTGGTGTATAGTACCGTGAAATTTATAGGACTATTCATGGAGTGAGGATTCTTTTTTCTTGTTTCTTTGAGCAAGCTATTGACATAAATGGTTAAGAAAAGTGCTCTGCAGGAAAATTGTTACAATATGTTCATGTTGTGCTAAATGCATCAATACCTCTTTTAATCTGAGTTTATGTCTTGGTGACTATTTAAATCTTCAGCTGCAGAATGGGGTTCAAATTCATGTACAGCCATTACTCATCTCAGAGAAGGGACAATATCAGACTCCATTTAAACTACAGGGTTTTTTCACTCAAGCCTCCTTCTATAATCCCTTTCGGAGCTTAGGGAAATGTGGGAGAATAGAAGGGGCAGATCACACCCTCACCAGAGAAGCTGAGTGATGAAGTCCACCACAAATAGCACTGATTCAACATCTCTTATCAGTTGATCCCACAGGTAGAGAAGAGCCTCCTTTGGTGAGTACAGAGATATCCTCTCCACCCTTAGGGTGAAATTCCCTCTGGCATGCAAGCAATTGTCTTGACCCAGAAAAGTATGGGTATACACCTCCCAGTGCAATGTTAGTGAATCTTGTCTACTGTCTGCATCTAATATCTCACATCCAGCCACATCACTCTCATACTCTGCAATAAGGACGATGCCTGTAAATAATTCTGTTCTTTTAGGACACGAATATTCATAAAACACTTGCTTTCAGCCTATAGGGATTTCTGTTTTCAAGCGGTGAAGAATATTCATTTTACACTGGAGTTTCATCCTTTGTTTTTGAGCACCAGTAATGGGAATGTCAGGAATTTGTTCACCGGTAGTACTGGGGTTTGTAAATGTAGGCCCCGTATTTCTACAGTTGTCCCATGCTGACTAATGGAAGAACTTGAAAGAAGTCCTGATGCTTTTGAATCCGAAGTCCTTAGCACAGTTTGTGATGTTATTTGGAAAGGCTGGTCTGATGAACTTGATGTCTGCATTTGGTATGTCTCTCTCAGATACTGCCGTGTTATAGGAAGGAGGGCAGGCAGACAGCAAAGTTGTCTATTTCTCCAGCTAAACCTCAACAATTCTGGAGTGACATCTATACAACTTGATCCAGGGATGGAGGTTCCTCTGCCTCCCCAACTAATGTTTTCCAGTTCTCCACTATCATCAGCAGTTAGAAGGCTCGCCCCACCCCAGCTATTTCTAATATCTGTCTGTGATACAACCCCTTTTTTTCTAGTGCTGTTTCCAGCAGAGAATTAATGTCTCCTAGCAGCTAGCTTCAGCATACTTCTAGGTAGTGAACAAATTTTCCTTCTAAACTAGTATCTGAGTATTTACATGAAGTACTTTCCATAGATTCAGTGATTAATGATAATTAAAGCAATAGGAGCCTCTGAAATGTGTGGGATGCATTCTGAGGACCTTGGGGTAGGCAAGCTGGTCAGAATGGTATCACATTTTACTGTCCTGTGTGTCTCTAAGAGACTGAAAAAATGGAAACTACAGAGAAGCTAGAGGCTCATTGCACACACTGTTTCTGGTTTGGGTTGGGAGAGGTGCAGGCAGGAACCGTGTTTATGGTGACTGTCATTTGCACAGTGGCCTGTCTGAAAGCTTGTCTTTTATTGTAATGATCCAGAGCCTGAACCTTGTGTCGAAAATGACACCTTAGAGTCACACTGGAGTTATTCTGGATTTATTCTGATGTAACTGGGAACAGAATTAGGGCCATAGGATGTGTATGGTTCTTTGTACCTTCAAAGCAATTTACAAACAAGAATTAACTAATCATTAATTGACTGCCAAGCAATGTTATACGCAATTATGGAATCCTCCCTCCTCCACCTACTCAAATCTAAATGACTGAACACGCCTTTAACATCTTCCCAGCATTATTCATATTGGATCTGTTTCTCTCTCTTTGAAGTCAACAGCGGTATTGTTATTGGCCGGGATGGGAGGACTGCTGAGAAGTCACACATATTATATTAGTCATCAGGGTGCCATGGTAGCTCTGGTTGTGTCAGCATTTTGGGACTTTTACGTCTTTCTTACTCAGCCAAAGCTCTGACTAGTAAAGGGTTGAATAACGAACCCTCCCCTTTATTCATTCTGCATCTCTTTAAAAAATGGTAAATCAATGCATATGAAATAATGAGAAGCAGAGTTGAAACATGAGACCAAACCTCATATTTCAAAGAGAAGCCATTTGATCACTTTTAAATTGAAACATGAATGTGTTTTTGTCTATACTGTTTATTTTTGTAGGTCACTAATGAATGTGCTTCTTCCAATATAAAGGGGAAGTTTTACAGGATGATTTTCTGGAATTTTGTTTTCTAATTCTGCAGAAGTCAGGTGTTTCTATTGCTTCCTGTGTTAGCAACTGACGTTGATGTTTTGTATTGCACCTAGGATGGAGATTCCATTGCTATTTCAGCAGAAGTATGAAAATACTTATGTAAGTCAGAACAATATATTCCAAAGTTTTATTTGTTTTTTAAAAAAAGAAATTATTCAGAGAACTGACCACTTTGGGAAAGTTTCCGCTGAGGTTATTTCTGTTCTGCTGAGTCATATAGAATTAATGAATTTCCATACAGTAACTGAGCTTAACCATTAGAAAAATGAACAGAAAACTAATTTCAATACAGAGTGTATGCCATTATAATTCAAATTTGAGTTTTTCAAATTAGTTATGCTAAGTCTCCTCAATAAATCTCCTCAATAAAACCTGAACTCTAATATGGCTTAGAGTGCTCTAGCTGCAAATGCACATTTGCTTAGGGGCCATTTTTACTTTGGAATGTAAAACTGCAGACTTAGGAACCTAATCTTAGGTGATAATTCCTGGATGCGGAATTGCTTTAGTTTCTATTTCTACAATAGAATTTTTTGGCAGAAGACCCTGCAGGTTACCTTCCCGGCTACATCCTGGCAGATGTTTTGTATGCATATGCAAAGAGGTGATTTGGCCCCTTAATATTTTTCTGTGCAACCAAGTTATGAGTAGGAGGTGTGACCATAGCCTAACTGGGAAAAAAAAAAAAAAAGAAGGGTAGATAACACATGGGAAAATGTAGCCAGACAAAAGTGCATATAAAAGATGTGGTGAATTTTAAATTATTAGCTGTCACATGATAGCTGGCAGGAGAATAGTCATACCTGATCAAACAGGTTATTTCCATAAAACGTGTCTGTGCAAGTATCACAAACAGAACTCCCTTACTCATGAGAATAACGCCTTTGAAGTCACGTGAGTAAGGGTTGCAGAATCAGTCCCACCAATGGTGAAATGCGTATAGAAAATTATTAGTTTCAGGGCTGGTAAGTTTTCTTTTTCTGAAAGGTTAGTAGTGTTGTAATATATATATAATTCCACAGCAATTAGATTTGATACAACTTATTAACAAGATACTAACCAGAGACACCATTCAGACAGGGGACTTTCATAAAAGATTAATCAAACTGAAAACCAAGGCTGTTTCTCATAATACACTAAAATTGGATACATAGTTTTTAATTTATTTATTCTCTACAGTTTGTCCATCAGCTTTCTAAAAAGTGCTGAAAGATGCTATTAAGCTTTACAGGCCACCATGAACAATGCTGGGCAGAAGAGCACATAATAAGAACAACAATTGTTTCCTCTGGGTAGTAAAAGTTCAAATATTTGATAGTCATCAACACATAATGGCAGTTTTCACAATTACTCCTTTTTCCTGACCCAACACACATCCTTCATCAGTCACAATTGTAACGATAATATACTGAAAGAATGAAAATGGCTCCAGAGTTGCCAAGAGAAGTAAAGCAGTAAAATCCCTTTTGAATGGACAGATCTTAGATACAGTACAGTCAACTTTTTTTTTGAACTTCGACACATCAGGAGTATGCATCACCAGGTAACAGTAAAATAGTCACTGATGCTACATGAAAATCCAGAAGTGTTAACGTGATGTGCAACATGCCAATCTCAGAGACCTCTGTGCTGCGTTAAACAAGCAGAAACTCATCCAAGCTGTAACTTGCTTTTGCCAAGTTTTGTCGTTGTTTGTTTGGCAGCTGCCCTGTGTTGGTTACTTCTACTTTACTGACTGCAGAGCTGTCACCCAAAATTAATGGATTATCTTTTCAAAGTAAGTCTTAGGATTTGAGATTCTATAACCACACACACTTTTCCCCTGACTATAACATTTCTAGAGGGGTCAGTAACAAGAAGTTAACAAACATTTACACCTACTAATACATTGTGTAAAATGAAAGCCACAAAAGGATATAACCATAGTACAAAACCTACCCTTTTCACTCTCCCGGGCCTTAAACCTCTACCTAATTTCAGAAGAGTAGCACAAATGAGTGAAAATAATCCACGCAAAAATCAAATTGCAGAAGTAGAAGGGCCTCCATAATTCTTTTAAGTCCTTTCTGGGTAATTTCCCTGCCGCGATGAGCACATTGTACAACTATGTCACTTGACCATAGTCACAACTTTCCTTTTACAGTGAGAAAAACAAACCCGAAGAGCGACACTTTCATCATGCGTTCACTTGCTCAGCACATGGCAGCTCAAACGCTAATGCACTACAACGCAGGAATTCTTTGCCATGGGAAATAATAGGCCAAATCTTGATTTTTACTTAGCTAAGGTCTGCACTAAATTTCATGTTTTTCTCTTAAATATAGCCATAGGAATTGGTCAGCTCTGAAGCGCTCTTGCTAATCAGTTTAGAAAAAGAGATTTTCTCTTCATATTTCCTCATTTGATAGCAAAAATAAAGACATAGAACCAAATAATATCCAGTCAAGTTATTAGGATTTTTATAGTAATAAGATTTTTATTAATAACAGTGACTCCTTAAATAGTAGCCACAGAAAACATTCACCTGAAAAGTCATGCATTAAACATAGAAAATCACATATTGAACATCAATAGACTGCAAGTCATAATCAAAAGAAACATTTGTCAGCATTTAATGAAAAACTAAATTATTTGTATAGAACCTTCAGAAGTGCAGTTTAAAATAAGCACAGATTTATTTTTTATGCTAAATTTCACAAAATTTTTTTTTGGGGGGTAGTTTACACTGTAAAATGTAATGCTCTTCTGAGGAAGATCCAACTGGCATAATCACAGAGTTTACAAATATTGTTTTAAAATCTAACTTACCAATAAAAGGAAGAGGAAAGCAGGCGTTCGGTGAGGGAGCCAATCCATGGCATCTGCCTTCTCGGATACAAGTCCAACTGAGTTATGGTTACAAACCTGTTCCTTTTCCCCTCCCCCCCCCCAACTCCGGTGTCTCTTTAAAAAGACACTCGGTAGATGTCCTTATACTCAGCCCTTCAAGGTGTCTCTGCCTCCCTCTGAGGGAAGCACTGAAGATGCTGTATAACAGAGTGTCTTTCCCCACCCCAAAATCCTGGGCTGGTCTCACCTGAAACGCTTGACAACATCATTATTGCTTGCAGGTAAAAGCTAAGAGACACACCTTAATTCTTATTGCACTGAAACCCTTTGTTGGATACGAAAGGGTACGTTTTAAAAACAGAAGGCAAGCCTTGCTGGGAAGATACCAAGTGATTTATAAATTACTCACAACATAGGGAATCATTAAAATGGTAACTTATCATTGCTTTGAATGCAATTACCAGTTTCCTCCTTCCACCAAGTATAACAGAAGAGCTTAATGAATATTACTGTAAAGAATATGGACTTTAACAAATGATTAGTTTGAATTAAAATATAAGCCCATTTGTTTACTTCCAGGCGTGAAGAAGTCAGTTCCATGCACATTCTTCACAGAAGTGCAGCACTCAGAGCAGAATGGGGTTGTCATTACAGAGGTAACATATTAATTTGGGGGAAAAATCGTGTTTTACCCATTAGGCCACAAGAATATCTGAAGCAGGGGAAGGAGACTCTGCTTTCACCAACTGCAAAGCCTCCTCATGCTATACCTTTCCCTTCCTGTGGGTTGTGCTCTCGCTGACGCGGCGGAGAGAGAGATAAGCCCATGCTCCGTGCCAGAGAAACTGGAGAGCGGCTCAAAACAACAGCAAAGGCAGGATGTGCTGTACACCTCACTTCTGGCCTCATTTTGGGTGGCAAGCGCACAAATATGTGAGGGACGGAGAACTCAAAGAGGATTCCCCGCTTTGCTCAGCAGTAGGTCACTCCATCCTGCAGCAGAGGTGCTGTAAGTCCCTCCTTTCATCCGTGGGACACCTGAACCGCCCTGTAACGGGCAAGAAAAAGACAGAGCGAGCTTCTGCTCTGCCACTGAACCTGGGAGGAGGGTGCACGCTTCATCCCCGAAAGTGCAATACGACCGACGTGCTCCTGAGCCTGCCAAGCCCACCACGGTGCTGGGCATCTCTCAGGACCGAATTCAAGCTGAGAAAAGAGGGTTCAGCACCTCTGGGGTTACTCAGCACCTCCCGAGATGAGGCCCCCATGCTCCTGCTGGGTAAGCAGCTTTGCAGCATGCCCTGCCTACACGCCGCTTAGCACGGGTGCTTGGCTGCCTTGCAGCTGGCTGGGGCTGCCAAAGCCAGTCGTGCATGTCCCCGCTGTCACTAGGCTTTTGGTACTGAGCTCGACATGCCCAGCAGTGAGTCAGTGAGGCAAAGTGGGACAGGTAATCTTAAATGGATCACGTCTAGAGTTTCCCTTTCCTGGGAAATTTTCAACAATCTGAAATTTGCTTTTAGATTAAGTAAAAATAAAAGGTTGTTTGTTGAACATATAAAATATGTGTATTCTTTTATGAACCAAAGCATCTTATTTCAGAAGTTTTGCTTAATCAAATATTCCAAAAGATGCCAATTTCAAAACATTTTTCCTTCTAGATTTTTCAAATGTTTGGTTTGGAGGTTTTTTTTTTTTCTTTTTTTGCAAAATTGTGAACATTATTTCTGTACGTTTTTTAAAGTTTCATACCATACTGATGTCGTCATTATTGCAGTAACACATAAAATTTCCATATTACTAATGCAATAGTCAGTGGTTGAAGTGGGCCAGTATTCTGGCATTTCAGAGTTAGTTCTATACTTTCTGTGTAGGGGAAATACATAGAATAAGGGCAAACACAGCTTCAGAATGAGTAGTTCTCAAACTTCTTTATGGCCCTTCAGAGACTCAAGTCAGTAGACTATTTTTGGAGTATCCTTGAAAGAAAACCTATTTTATTTAGATTATTGAGAAATCATTGCATGTGAAAGCCATATAGGAGCCTTGATGAGAAACGAAGAAAGGCTGAAAGTGTGCATCACTCAAAACCGCTCCTGGCAATTCTGAATTTCCATTATGACCACCGGATAGAAGTAGTTATTTCTTGCAAATGTAAAATATGCATGTTATTTTACAAACCAAAATATCTCAATTTTGTTGTGTCAAATTTTTTTATTATAACAGAAGATAATTTGATCTATGAAAGATGATAAAATGCCTCAAACAACCATACTAGTCCCAGCAAAAGTGAAGACAAAAGCCCCAGCTGTTACACTATTTCTCTCTGTGCCATACCTTATTATGAAGAAGAGTGCACATGGACTCATCAGAAAAGGTAAATAAGAACAATTGTTCATTGGGAAAATTAGTCACGTAATTTCAAATGGGATTTCAAAACAAATATTCAAACTTTCAAAAAATATAATTTGCACATTAATAATTTAAAAAAAGTAGTTTAGTCTAAATAAACATGACTGAAAATGGTACAGCAGTAGTTTGATCTAGCTTGAAGAAGAAATCCTAGACCACTGACCATTACCCTTTGGAAATACTGGAGATAATAAGACAGAATTAGTGGCATCCACCTAACAATCATTTTGTGCTCTTGGAGCTTTTCTTTCCTTTGCATTTTTTATGAAGATTTTTGTGTTTTTTCTCTTACTCCTCTTAGCACCCTACAGAACAGCATAGAAAAGGGCCTTGGATCATTATGTAAACAGAACTGTATAATTCAAAATATAATTGGCATATAATGCAGTTAATTAAAATTTCACTTTTCTTTTCATGGAGAGACTTTTCAAACGTATTTTGGTGTCTAAAAATTCAGCCAGTTACCTACTGATATTGCAAAGCCAGTTAAGACTCCAGTCCCTAGTGACTTCCATTTGTGCGAGGTAACTAACACGTTTGAGTGCTTCAGAAAGCACCCTTTTCCTATTGCACTGGACTCTTTACTTTTAAAACACTGTTCTTGAGTATTCTTTTTTTAAATGGAGCTTAAGCTTTTAAGCCTCCAAGACTGCATCATCAGCCCAAGCCCGCAGATGATTTCAAACCTGCTTCATATTTGATGCAGCCTACTTTCACACAAATACACACATGCACACTTAAGTCAACTTTCTGAGCATCTCACAGGAAAAAGTTTGGTCCGGCACCCCTCCTGGCACAGTCCCCAATATGACTTACACGTGCCCCTGTTGTGGGGCTCAGAGGGGGGGCTTTTGCCCCAGGTCAGCAACGAGCCAGTCCCCCAGTCGAGGGTCAGTTGCCGCAGTGGGTCGGCGCCTACTCAGTGCAGTTCTGAACTTCAAAATAAATAAATGTGCTCCACGTTCAGAAAGGCTGCTTTACTTCCTGTATTATTTTCATACTCAAAGACATTGGAGAGACGTTCTTTTTTAATATTTCCCATGGTGCACAATATGCAGGAGCAAAAATGAGCTTCACGGTACCTAGAAAAAAAGACCAGGAAATAACAAAGGATGACGTGATGAAGTAATAATACATTCATTACAGAAAAGCTAGGGATATTTGTGTATTCTGATAAAAGTTTGGTACTCTTTGTATTTTGAGAAAAATTTAGGTAATGTGCTCCTATAAAGCGGCCAGGTCTCACAGACACGAAGGTTGATTTTTTCCTCAGAATCTGTAAGATGTACAGTGAGAGGGAGACACGCAGAAAAGTAAGATACATATAAAAGCAGTAATAACAATAATACAATGCTGCTCTGTGGTTTTAATTTCAACAAAAGCTATCTTAAAGTCTAGATGGGTAAGTACAACTTCTGTGTTTCATCTAGATAGCAAAACATGATAAAATTTTTCACCTGATAAAATTTGTGGCAATACTCAGGGATTGTTAATTGCATCTCTAAATTAGTGTTCTTCATTGAACAAAACTGACCAACACATTACCTGTCATTTGCAAAATGCATGAAAATGAAATCAACACGATCTGAAGTTACTCATGAGCTTGTTCTCGCTACAGATTGGTTGAAGAATCAGTATCATCCTACAATGTCATATGACTACAAAAGGAAAGGCTATGCAATTTCTTTGGCTTGTTTGTGTCACAGGTGAAGGAGGAGGTAGTCACTGATGATGAAGAGGGAACTGAGTTGCAGAGAAAAAATTCATACTGGCATAAGTCCATCTGCAGCTCTTGCTTCAGTGTGGAGGCTGCCGAAAAGCCTTGCTTAAGGAGAGCTAATCCTTGAGAGCTAAACCAGCTCCCAAGGCCCCTTCCCTTCAGTACGAGTGATGAGGTTACCAAACGGGAATGCTAAAGGATGCAGGCAAATGGGGGGTCAGATTGAGTATCGCAATCAGATGTATGTTGCAGGTATTTTCATACATGGCGAACATTAATATTGCTGTAGGCTAAAGCTCACAACCTTAACTCAAGTGCTGTAGTATAAGGGGAAAACACATAGAAGAAACTAAATGTGCTTTTAAAAGTAAGCATAGTAGAGTCTGGGATGATAAACCCAGAACTGACTTAGTCATAAATTCATCATGATTGTATTAGACTGTTACAGAGCAGGCCAATTGAATTTTTAAATTAAAAATTTATCACTTTTAATATATTGCCTTTAGTTCTTTAGGTTCAGAATATTGATCACATCTTGTAAAGTTTTTCTTTTTTAGTAATATTTATTTTTCAGCATAACTTTTTTTTCCCCTTTGTTTCGCCTGTCTTTTTTTTTTTTTTAGGGGGAGTTTCATTCTGATTATTTTCTTCCTAGAAGTTTATGTTAAATATTTTCAGTTTTTCTTTCTTAACTAAGCATATATATTTATACAATTTTATATAACCCACATCTGTGAAGAACATGCATATACTCAATTGTGTGAGAGGCTGCATATAATTTTCAGATTTCCTAAATGGCTTAAACCCTGTATTTTTTAAAGATGCTAAACATCCAGAGCTGATGATATCAAGGAGGAAGAGCTGAGAGTGCCAAGCCAGGGGCAGAGGATGGGTA